TTTATCTAATCTATCTTCACCTCTCTAAAAAAATCATTTGATTCATTTATTTGTGATTCATCCCGATTAATGTCACCATTTCAATTCCTTTGCATGTCATGCTTGCAATATTAGCACAGTACAAAGTCATAAAACCAATTTAAAATATCCATCTTAATGTTTTATTTTAAAGCCATCATGTTTGACAATTGACATACTATATTAGTGTTCAAAAAACAGGTATAAAAATACTGAAATAGAAAACTTTCCTTATATGATCAGTATTCATTCACATTTAGCTTAATTATTTTTAGCAAATAACTAAAATGGTCCTTACTTTGACAAATTTGCTAAAAATAAATTATTTCATAAAAAGCAAAAAAAGAAAACCCCTTACGAGACACCCTCACAAATATCAAGTTGGTTCGATACATTTTACATTGACCTGGTTAACTTATGTAACCTATTCCAAAGTAATAGAGTCTTGACTTTAAGGGAGATTCAAGAGTAAAGATGGAAACAATTGGAAGCAAGAAAACAATATTAACTCAATAGATAATGACCAATATTGAGAACTAATTGCACAATTATGAATAAAGTTTGAATAAGGGAGTTTAATTAAGTTTCAAAGTCCATATATATCCAAATTGAAATCTGAACCGAAGTATAGTGATTTGTCACTTTTGAAGCTGGTTCACCTACTACCACACAAAAAGACCAAACACACCTAACTCAAACAAAAAGTCACCTTTCCAACATCTATGCCACATCCAATTTCAATTGAACCACAATACAATACCAACCACCACTCATTACTTAGTATTTTTATAAAATTACATTGCCCCACGTCATGCTATATGTCAGTGCAAAATCAACTCTTCAATATTATGCTAAAAACTTATATACAAAATCTTATACTTCTTCACTTAAAAATACAATACAGCTTAGGGGGCTTGGTCACCGGGTATTGCATAAAATAAAATAAAAATCTAATGCACACACATGTATAAAAAGTCAAATGATATTAATTATAGAAAAATGATAAATTTAAAATAATGCTTGTAGTGCGTGCATTATATAATTACAAATAAATGGTTCAAGATTTTCATTCTTGATGTTATAGTGGATGAATTGATCTAAATTCCAATAATTTTTTTGTTTAATTAGTTTTCCACACATGGTCATGTCATGTGCTCCAATTTTTGAGCCCGTCGATTACCAACTTAGAGCCATTCTCGTTGGATGACAAACCTAGTTGGTCACCTACCTTATGCCACTCAACTATTTCTAATGCGTATAGAAAATGTTTCACTCACATTTTAATATTGGAATAACAACCTTAATATACACAACTTAAATTAAAAATTACAAAAACTTATTAGTATAATTTTTTTTATTATTATTGTCACTATCAATATTGTTATGGCATTCAGTATTATCATCATCACTATTATCTTTGTTTATTATCATTATCTCCATCAAAGTAAACACAATGATAATACCTGCAATAATTGCAATAAGGTGACAATGACAAGAATGATAGAGACAATCACGATAGTGATTGTTCAAGATAATTTTGTTTATAATTTTATAATCAAAGTTTTTTATTTTAATTTAAGAATTAAAATGAGACATTTTCATGCTTATAAAAATGATATTTTTATTAAATGTTATTAGTACAAGTAATTTAATATTTGTTTATTAATAATGATCAAAGTTTGGTATCACAAGAGATATTATTTTACTCCAATAAATACTGATTTGATGCAAAGAAATTATACTTTATTGCATCTTTATTAAGAAAATATATGATATTATCGTATTTTATATATATATATATAT